GTGAAGGGGGGGGCAGCGAAGGAAAGATAATATCAGGGGGGAGAGAGAGAGGAAGAAAAAGAGAAGGAGAGAGAGGAAGAGAGAAGAAAATACTCTCCAGTCCTAAACAATACAAGCAGAATATTTGAAACGCATGATATGGTTAACATCTTCAGGAGTCCGAAATTGGACTTTTATAAAAAAAAAAATTTATACTTGTCCCCCAGTGTCACTGTTACCTGTCCCTTGGAAGAGCTGTCCAGGCGAGGCTATGAGATGTTCCTGCTGTTTTTTTTTCAACTCCATCTAAACCACTTACTTTCTTCGGTTTAGTAATGGGACCAGTAGAGTTTCCCTGGCCACACTGTCCCATTGAATTGTTACCCCAAGCATAAACTTCATTATCTATAAACATAAATAAAGTAGAAAACAAAACCTGAGAAACAATTGCTTCTGACCAAGAGGAGGATTATGTAGTTTTACACCTTATTCTTTTTACCATGAGAAAGTGCCAAACAGTGACTGTCACCAATCGAAATATCAACTATTCTTGTAGCAGCCAGTTCTTCAATAAGCTTGGGTCTGAGAGCAGTTGCCTCTGAAGAGCCACAGCCAAGGCATGCACCGCAGCCCCATGCATAAACCTAGAGCAAACAAACCACAAAATATCAGCATGTCAAATTTGTATTACTAGTGACCATGAACAAACAAAATACCAGATAACCACTTCCACAATAACCACAACTACGCTTTCAACAAAACATGTGCAGTTCTTTCATGACTCTTAACGTACATTTCATATAATCTATGTTTCTTCCCTCCACCCACTTGGATCACTGGCCACAGAGTACATCAATGGGGAGGCTGTTGCAAGAAAAGAAACTGCTACAATAAACCCCAGCATTCCTAATCCATACTTTAAAAACCCATTGCCTTTGAATCACAGTGGGGTGAGAGTCGGGGGTTAGTTAGGTTACATGTGTAGAAATGCTTATTGTACTACATGTATATACACCATGCCAGTAAGAGCCCTCATTACCACCTGAACATTTATCTCCAAAGCCTCCTGAGATTTTTCAGATTGGAAATAAAACTTACAGTTAACATTTATATTCCAAAATACACATACATTTAAAAAAACTATTCAAAATCACTTAACACCTAAGGTAATTAACGCATTAAAAATTACAAGCACTTCACTGCTTTTTTCTTCCAGAACCCAATCTGATTTTGCACTGGTTACGTTTATTAACCTAAACCCAATGCATTTTCTGTGGCTAAGCAAGACTCTTGAAAAGTGTACTTTTACATAACTCTTTAGCACATTTTGAATTACTCTAGCGCATTAGCATCTCAGTACTTTAGTCAATCTCTCATCAAGAACTTTACTAATATTTAAGTATTAGTTGAATGTTTTCTCCACAGTCAAAATAATAAATGCTGAAATAATGAACCTACACCATCTTCACCAACTCTCATCATTTGAGTGAAAACTTGTTTTTGCCTACCTGCCCTGTTGATGTCAAGGCAAGTGAAGACTGGCTTCCAGCACAAACTTTTCGAATAAACATTCCTTGCAAGGCTTCTATAACTTTAGGTTTATATACTCTATTTGTATCACCATGACCAAGTTTGCCTACAAAAGGAGGAAACACAAGTGGAAGGTATTTTCAGTACATAACCGACGACAACTAGAAGTACCCCAAAAGAATTCTTTTTGGATTTCCAAAAACATCCCAGTATATTTTTAAAATTAAAACACATTGCAATTTTCATAAAACATATTATCTTTCAGTTGCAGTAATTACAGTCTTCAGGAAACATATATTTATTATAGTGTATTTAAAAATTGAAATATTAATTCCATATATCTACATTATTCACTGCCTGCTGTGTAATTATTAAAGCCTTCCAAAGCACTAAATCTTTTCATATTTGGCAAAAAAAGATTAGTTTATAGAGTGACTTGAAAAAAACCCAACTTTTCTGCATTTTTTCCTAACAGCTGTGTGCATTTGTGTAACCATTAATATTTTTATTCTCTTATTTTTCCTTTAAGTTTCTCTTGAAAACATCTATTCATCTCCACAACTTCACTATTTTCAATCAATGACCTCAAAAACAAGGACTGTCACTAGACCATGTCAGCGTGTTGATGGAAAAACATTCCTCAAAAGGAAGGAGAAAACCCAAAATCGCACATGAAATATATTACAAAGACTGATAATTTCTACAAAGGTTATGCTTTGATTCATGTTGTTTTAGCTTTCCTACAACACTATTTTAGTACCACATTACTAATATCCAAAAGCCCAACTGTTTGTAACTTACTGAAACAGAAGAGCAAATTTCAATACTTTGTGAAGGTTAAGATGCCTGTCCTGATTTTTCACCTAAAATTACAGAAAGAGGGAGACAGAGGAGTAGGAACAAATCTCTATGTGCATGTCAGAGCTAGCTTTCGAGAGGAATTCAAATTCCTACCCAGTTCTATTAACTACCAACTTGATTATGAGATTTCTGTAGTCTGCATTTTCCTCTCTTCTCACACTAGGCTAGGAAGCAATAATACAGTAATTTTCATCTGAGTTTTAATTTTTATCTAGCAGCATAACCATATTTAGCTAAATACAGTAATAATAGAAAAAGAATGATTTTGTGTTTGACAGAGCACCTACTGGCAATGAAGGTCAGAAGGCCTTTCTTTTTGAGATGGGAGATGTTTCTTCAAGAGGCAGTTAAAACACGACAGTTTCTATCTAGCACATGCATACAGTTATTGCCGTATCAAATGAGTGAGTTTATTTGAAAGTTATTAGCAAAGTATTTTTCCAGAATTGTTTATGCATTCATTGAAGCTTCTGCTCTGTGAAACCCCTCTTTCTTCTGATAAACCTCTTTTAAAGTTTAAAACCTTGCAGTAAAGCTTCAAATATTGTATTTAGATTTTACTAAAATCCTTTTCTTGAACAGTTACCGAATGGCAAAAAAAAAAAAACCCAACCTGCAAGGAGTACTGAGGCTATGAGGTAAGTGGAATGAGATGAAAATTACTACCAAAACGTTAGTTTTACCTACCATTGTCTCCTCCTCCAAATGACCATACTGTTCTCCCATCTTTGGACAAAGATATTGTGTGTGAACTGCCACAAGAAACCTCTCCTACATTGCTAATATCTTTTACTAAAGTTGGAATGTTGCGGCTGTTGCTGTCACCATGACCTAAGGAAAAAAGAAAAATACATTTTCTTTTTGTGAAGATTTAAGTTCTATTTATGGTTTGAAATTTCAGTAAGATTTTGCAAAACCCATATACATTGTAATCATCACAAATAATAATTTCTGCCAAGTTTTTGGAAAGATCTCTAAGGTTTAAAAGATTTGAAAGGTTTGGAAGTGATCTTTAGTAAGGTGAACAAACATTTCATTTTCATAAGACATATTCTAGAACACTTGCTCATACCTTACTGCCACTAAACCATAGGACTATTTTCTACCTAGTTTAAAAGAAATAAAAATAATTACTAGTACAATTGCCTTTAATACTAGTTGATTAAGTAGCTATACTTCCTAATACTGGGCAGCAGGTAGCCTGAACAGCATGAGGAAAGCTAAAATAAGGGCACGCTCTTACTACTGTCAAAACAAACATACATACTGCACAGACAAATAAACCCAGCAAACTAGTTTTAGACAGTCACAATTCTAACTGGTCCTTTCTGCAGAAACCCAATACATTACAGTATCACCTACTTCATAATGAGCATGAGTTACATGTCTGATGAACTACAGAAACTCTGCAGATATGGAAGAAAAATGGGAAAAAGTGAGGAAAGAATACCACATGGTATCCATAACTGACTAAATGACAAGTTACTGTGACCTAGTTAAATGCTACTTTTAAGCTGTGCACTGGAACTCACCATTGCACACTTGAAGTTCCCCAAAGCACATAAAAAACCCACATTAACCTAAAATTCAATGACAGCATTTCCACAATTCCCCCCAAAATTGTAGGTTAAACCTCTAACTCAGTGTTCTTAACAGCAGAGATAGGCTCAGCACTTCTACTGATTACCTTGAACAACTGTGACAGTTTAAGCTGTAAAACACTGTCCTCTGTCCTCATCTTCTGCCCCTGTCAGTTACTTGCTTTCACTCCTCTACTTGGTGATCATGACATTCAAAGAAAAAAACATCACAAAGGAACTAAAGCCCAGCCTGAAGCAATTCTCTATGCAAATCTGCTGGTTCAACAGTACCTGCTTGTGAAGGGTGGTTATACACTAGGTATATCAGCTGTACAGCAAAGATGATGAAATAGACAAGTGAACTTTAAGCAAATAGAAATACCATGGTTTTAATTTCAGTTAAATTTAACTTTTTAGACCTATTAAGGTAAAAGACCATTAAGGCATTCTGACAAAATGTCAAGCATCCTTATTAGTATCACATTAGAATCAAACCCTTGATATTATTAGCCAGTTATTAATGACTGTTCAAAGAGCCTCCTACCATCACCTGATCATATTTATCTAGAACTCCAGTTTATTTAAAACATCTAGTGTTTACATTTAAGTGGTAGTGGCAATCATATATAGTCTTATGAATGAATAATGGCAACTTTTCCTGAAAAGAAAAATATTTAAAAATAGAATCTTTGTAAAATTAACTGCATTAAAATATTTTAAGAGTCTCTGCACTAGTTTTAATACAGTCACCTATATACACACACCTGTGTGCATGTGTATGTGTATTTAGAGGGGACAATAACAGAACAAGGCAAACACATGTATAGTATCATTACCAGACAAAGGAATTCCTCCAAAAGCATCTTATGAAATTTTAACATTACCTAATCTTCCAAAGTCTCCTTCTCCCCATGTATATAGCTCTCCATCTTCTGTAACGGCAGCACTATGTCTGTATCCAGCTGATACACATACAACAACCTACATTACATGCAAAAATAAAAATCATGTTTTTACACAAATTGAATAGGAAGTTTGAAAGCTTATGAAAAGTCAAGTTTCAGAAGCAGTCTACGTAAACCAACCTACTCACTCATGTGGAGGAAGTACACACATAAATTAATCTTTGCAATCTTTTCTATTTAGTATTTGGTAAGTGGAAATCAGTACAAAAAGAGACAAGTTTTATATATAAGTAAGTCATGGTTTATTTATCAAGCAAAATTAACATAATGATATCCTAGTCTTACAGCAGCAAAAAGAAGCATCAAAAGCATAAAATACCAGCCAAAACAGATTGGGAAGAGAAGGCTTTGTGGGACAATACAAAGTCACTTTTCAAATGAAGCCACTAAAAAGTTGTACATGAAAAGTCCTAGTGTTACAGCTAACAAAAGCAGCCGTCTCCTGGAATGTCACCATGGTTCAGCAAAAGCACATGAGCAAGTTTTACTCTTAAAGACTATGAGAAGGTTTACTGACAATGCCATTGTCCAAATCTGTGCCTAAAGGCAACCACAAGTTTCAGTGCTTTGCTGAAAGCAGACTCAGCTTCAGAGAAGCTTAGAAAAAACACAGAACTTTTTCTTAAGATTGTATATATTTCAAATTTTACACAACATCACAACTGAACAGAACAAAAATAGGTGTTCCGCTATATAAAACATACCTTTCCTTGCAGAGGACCCTGAATAAGTTTGGGATATTTCTGAGTTGAACTATTTCCATGTCCCAGTTTTCCATAGTCACCATCACCCCAGCTGAAGACTTCCCCTTCTGTTGTAAATGCTAAAGTGTGACCATCAGATCCTTTTGAAGATGACACTTTTTTAATAGACCTATGAGGCTCAAAAGTCAATTTTTTCAATGTAGACTGATTATTGGAGTCACCCAGTCCTAGTCTCCCATAGCTGCCTTTACCACAGGCTCTAACAGAGCCATCCGTAGAAATAACAAACGTACAATATTGTCCAGCTTCAATCTATAAACAAAAAGGTTAAAATAGTAAAAAGAAAGATTAGATAAATGCAAAATTCACATATAGGTCTAGAAGTCTGTATTTTTAAATAGAATGTCAGGTTTCTTTACATAACCCTTTCATATAACATAATGTAAAAACGAAGGAGAATTTGGGCTGCTTCAGCAAGCAGTAAAATTCAAATTCTTGAAAAGTATTTTATAAGTAGATCTATTTTCTTGAGGTAAAGGATGTAAATATTGATTAATCTATTTTATTTATTTGCATTTCTTCTACAGACTACAGAACTCAGGCTGCCTTCCGATCTCCAAGACTCAGGGATGGAAATGGGCAGTCTTTGAAGATACCATTTCTTAAGATTAAAAAGACAAAGTAACAGCTTGATAAAGCACTGTAGGTTTTGCTTAATTTTAACCAGTACCAAGCGGTAACGTTACAGAAATATGCCAAATACTAAAAATCCACTACCATTTGAGACTACGCATTTTAATTACATAAATATCAAAGAAACAAGACCAAAAGTTTTTAAGAAAGCGAGAACTTGCCTCTATTGGAAAGTCAGCTGAAGAATAACCTAATAGCAAACCAACTAACCCTGCAATAATTCGCTACGGAATCTTAACACACCATAAGCCCAAAGCAGGTTCAAATCCAAAGCATAAAGGCACTGTGTGTCCACATCATAAAACGGCACAAAGCAGGTGGTGGACTGCACGGTGACAGCCCTATTTACTGTGATTTAACTTCTTCGTATCAACAAATCCTACAAAGATTGCCCATGAAGGTTAAAGAAAAATTTATCTATCCCAGTGGGAAGTCACATAAATATGTTGCATAGGTGTATACAGCACTATTAAAAGAGTAACCCATTCATTCAGATCACTCATTCCACTCTTGTGTATTAGTGCTTTGTTTAAACAAAGCTTTATAAATGCATAAACTTGCTTTATGATGCTTAGTCCTGCAGTCCACTGCTATATAAAATATCAGTGACGTCAATAGACACAATTTCAGAAAATGTACCTAAACTGTCTAGTGACCAAAAAAATGTTTTTACTTAAGTCAACAGTGCAAAGCCAATCTATTAAGAGAAAAGCAAACTATTATATATTCTGTGTCACGCATCAATAGAAGTGCTCAGTTGCAACTGAGGAATCTGTGACGGAGAGCAGAGAGACCATACGTATATTGATTTTCAGAGTTAATTAAGTTTGCTGTTAATTTAGTTAATTAAGGTTGCTGTGCCAGCATTTAGCCCAGTTTGGAGCTTTAAACTAGGCAATCCTGGTGTGAAAACCACCAACGGAAAAGACGATTGAGTAGTTAAGATACCTTTTAAACAACAGTAAATAAAAAAAAACCCAAACAAAAAACAAACCACAACAAACTACAGGCAAGCAAATTTGTCTCTGCAAATGCATTTCATAGCAAGTTAGATAATTCAATTGTTCTTGTTACAAGAATATTGATCTGTGTGTGTCATTAAAAATGAAACAATGTTTTTCCAGGTGTCAATAAAAGGAGTAAGATACTTTCAGTAAAATAACTTGTATGATTAGTTCTGAGCATCATACCTTCATTATAACCTGACGCTCAGAAATAAAGTACTATTTCCAGTTTCATACTATAACTATGAAGCTGTTAAATGATACATCATGTACCACTATAAGTGTCACTCACCGTCTGCGCATCAGAAAAACTTGGAGCAAGCTTGGGTTGAAGTATTTTCTCCTGAGTTCCTTCTACCAGTTGATGACTGCTGTTGCTACCCCAAACATACACTTCACAGGTCTCAGAAACAATGGGAGCATCACCCGTTTGAATGCTGTCAGGGCTGGCACATGTTCTTGAATAGTCTGATGCCATTCGACAAACCTGTTAAAGTGAGAGATTTATTACACAGTAGCATTTTTATTTCTTTCCATATAGGCACAGTGTTTAACGGAACTTTAATTTCCCCTCAATATGATTCTATGCCTAAACCACAAATCATCCACCACCATATCATTAGCTTGCCCAAATTACTTTGTTTCTCTACATCTTAATTTTTCACCTTTATTTGCCTTCCTCTTCTATTCCAGAATAACTCAGCAGAGACTGGACCATACTCCCATGCACACACCAATTAGATGTGTGAGGGGGAAGTAAACTACAATTACCTTAAAGTCAAGGTTTGTTTCAAGACATACCTCTTCAAATAAACACAGAGCTGCCTCGTAAAGAGAACATAAGCCATCGGAAGTTCTAGTTGGCTCTCTCCATTGACTTCGATCAGCAGATGATCCCTACAATTTTTAAATGTTGTTATTATGAGAAAAATACTTCCATACAGCAACAGTGCACCTGTACAAAATACATTAGAGATTTGTTCTTGTAGTTAAGCAAAATTAAAAGCTCTTCCTATAAGCACAAGTAAACTACTTTTCTCCCCTGAGCTGTGTTATCTTCGTATACTTCAGGATAACAAAAATGTGACAAGTGCCAGTTAAACATATTCTTTGTTCATTAAACATATTATTTATTCAATATATTATTTATTCATTTTTATAAAAATATTTGGGTTTAGAGTTAATTTCTCCTTATATCATTTTGTTCTGAAATGCATGTCTTTTATGTTTAAAACTACTATTATTTAAAAATAACTAATCATCATTATTTTTCTGTTTACATATCTTTCATATTTTGGTCTATAATTTTATATCTAGTCCAAAACCAACAACAAATAAAGTTGGCCATCAGGACATTCAATCCAATTCAGATCCTGCCACTGCCATGTTCTCCTCATGGTCCCATTCTTTAAATTTTTTAGTTTTTAAAATTTACGTTTATTACCATTACAAGCCTGAAACGAGAGAAAAGAATAACCACTTCAGGGAAAAAGTTGTTCCCTGTTTCAGCCTGAGCATATGAGGCAGAAGCTTGCCACAGCTTCTGATTGCATATTGTGCAATAATTTCATAGCTTTAGAGAGAATATTCATCTAGAACCAGAAGTAAGCACTCAACATACAAAGCGGAGTCCCACACTTCCAAACAATTTAGCTCATTTTCTTATTGCATTAATTTCTGAGCAGTAGCAAAACCACTAAACATCTCAAATCTTACTGATTCTCCAAAGATGTATTAA